AATCCCCTCAACTCACTCCACAAGATCAATCACCTTCATTAATATTGTCTTTCTTTTAATTTCACAGTTATACCATATATCTATTTTCTTTCTTTCATTTCATTTGTATTCTTACATTCTAAGATTTAGTATTCTATATGGTCATCACTAGATGGCTTTATAAATGCTAATCCCCCCTGACTATGACTTTCAATGCTTTTTAGAAAGATAAAATAGAGACTTGTAGTCAAGACTTTAGTTGTATACATGCCCCAACATGCTAATGGTAAAGACTGCATTGGTCAGTTTTGGCACATTTGGGTATGTCACAAGCATAAGCCCAGTGTTGTGTTATGCACTTATTTCATTTTGCTATTCTATGTAAACTTAGTTTCTAATTTAGAGAGTACTGTGAGAGCCAATCTACTATTACCTATACAGGTCCTCAATTTACAACCATACAACCCTCTGGGGAGACTTACGATTTGGATTTAAAGTTCTAAAGGTCAGCCCCTAACATTTGACTGCACATTGGGTACTTGGCAACTGGCCTACATTTATAATTACCATCATGGTGGGAAGCTCCATTACATTTATAATTCAAGGACTCCTGATATTCCACTAGCCTTAGATGTATAGACTCAAGAAATCTAAGGAGTTATTAGATCATGGCTTAAATGTTTTGATTTATCATGTTTTTATTCTCTTAATTAAATATTGCATTCAAAATAAGGCAAGATAAGATATTAGAAAAAGTGTATTGGTACCTACCTGATAAGCCTCTTCTAATAGAGTGGAGATAGCATCCACTTATGGGTTAACCCTCTCCGTTCTCCGGTTGGACTGAGTCTGATTAATAATTAATTAGCCTGATTAATAATTAATTAGCCACCTATATAACCCGTCTCTGTGAGTGACTCTACCCAGCTTTGCGACGAAGAACAAAGACACAGACTCCACGTGTTATCCAACATTCAATTTTAGTAAATAATGTAGTGCAAAACCAACAAGAAAGTCCACAAGCACAAATAAGGTAACAAACAACAACATCATCAACCCTATTCCCAGGTAAGCATGGAAAAACAGTCTCCATACAGGGCGGGGCTGGATGCTATCTCCACTCTATTAGAAGAGGCGTATTAGGTAAGTACCAACACCCTTTCTCAATAGAGCTGGAGATAGCATCCACTTATGGGACATACCTAAGCTAGTCCCCGTAGGGAGGGAAGAGACTGTTAGGCTACCTGTCGGTATGGACTGCTTGCAGAACCCTGAAGCGAATTTGTCCAGCTGAAGCGAATTTGTCCAGCTTATAACTCTGAACAAAGGCCAAGGGGGTCGCAAATCTCCTCCAGGGAGGCCTGGGTATTCCACGCCACAGACCTAGTTTTCCTCAGATAAGCCATCCTCCCTGATCTCCCCCTCTTCGAGGCTGGAGAATGACTGCACTCTGGGTCCTGAGGTGATTGGTCCGCTCCCATGTTGGGCTCGAGGTCATTGTGTGCACGAACCTGGGTAGCTGGTGGAGGTGGTGGTGGTTCACATTGCTGCAACCCAGCTGCAATCCCCTGTTTAATGGCCTCTGCAATGAAGGACTGGTAGTCTAGAGGCATGGCCGGGGCCGGATACTCGTGACGGAGGCCCACAGCCGTGGGTGTAAATGTGGCTTCCACATGCCTGCTAGGTAGGCGAGATTTCATAGAGGGGGCAGCACAGATTGCCCCCAGATCCCTAAGGTATTAATAGACAGCATTGGACTAAATAGACCAGGCCCAGAATCCAACTTCGAGGGAGGGCTGAGGCCTGAGATGGTAGTGGGGGAATAGGAATGAGGCCCAACTTTGGTCTGGGGGTTGGCCTCCTTGTCTGCCGATTTGGAAGCCTTCTTAGACTTAAAGACCTTGCTGGAGGATTTAGAGTCCTTAGAGCCCTTATCATGTGGCTTATTTGCACTGCCGCTTTGGGATGAGGCAGGCAAGGCTTGGAGATCGGGGCCTCCAGCCACTGACAGAAAACCTCCCTGACTGCTTCCTTCCATGTCAGGTTGGCCTGACGCTGTGCTGTCTGCCATCAGAGGGACTGTCAGTATTCAAAATGGCGGCCGTGCTAAATTCCTTATTCAAATGGCGCTCGCACCAAATTTCTCCTCCTCCAGACGGCCGCCAGCGCTCTCTCTGGGCTTCTGATGGCTCCCTCAGGCCAGTGCAGACACTCACGTCCTGAATCACCGTCTATGGGCCTCACAGGGCACGGAGGCAGTTTATGAGGGCCGTTTGACTCCCTGTGGCATCGACATGTCATTTTATGAAGGCGCGGCTGTTCCGCCCTCCCTAGCCTGGAGAGGTCAGGCAAACGCTGGCAAGGAGCCCTGCAGCCACACAGGTACGCTGCAGAATCAGCTGCTCACAGCAGGGGGGCTGCTGTCTCAGGAATCGCAACATGCAGTGAAGAGGCTGGATTTTCCGTATGCAATCAGTTCCCCCCCCCCTTGCACCTGCGGCTCAAGGCTGGTAGAAAACCTCAATGAGCCTCTCTCCAATAGCCTAAGGCTCTCTTGGTCACTGATCTCCAGCCCACTCTTCGTCCCATGATTACTCACTTTTAAACAAGTTCACTAAAGAAGGATTCATAACACGACTGGCCAGAGTGGACTGAATCAAAAAGCTGGGTGGAGTCACTCACAGAGATGAGTTACATAGGTGGCTAATTAATTATTAATCAAACTCAGTCCAATCAGAGAACGTACAGGGTTAACCCGTAAGTGGATGCTATCCCCAGCTCTATTGAGAACTATGTGATACTAAGAAATGAACTTGCAAAACTGCAGATTCACCAAGATGTCCTTGTTAGTAGCATATGAAAGAAAAAAAATGCAGAACAATTATTTTTTCATACAGCATAAAGTAACAATATGGTAAACAAAATACATTCTTCATATAAACAACATGTACACGAACAAACCTTGCTGGAAAGTTGGCAGCATTACCTTGTATGAGCAAAAACATCAAAGGATTTAGGAAAAGTATATATTATGCTCAATGCACAAAATGTACTATAAAGTTTGCTATAATAAATGGGGAAAATGTAGCAAATTGGTAAAAATGTCATAGTAAAATTTATTGAGCAAGAGTCCTTGATGTTTGTAAGAAACGTATCAGTAATGAATCACAAATCAATGACCAAATACTAGCTTTGTAAGCAGAAGATTCCAGGATCAATTTGTCTTCTAGGATTGCCCTTAACTTTGGATAGATTCACCACTGTGCACGCTTAACACAAGACCAGTTTCCCAGACTGTAGCTCTGTCAACTGTCTAAGGAAATTTATCTAGCTTCTTTATTCATGTAATGCTTTAAAATTGGTAGTCTCTGCGCCCAAACATTCCCTGTGACAACACTGAAATAAAATACACTATTTTACTGTGAAGGTTATAGATACATGGAGAAAAGCTTCAGAGAGACCTCTCAGAGTTCATGGGGTCAGCTGGGATTTATCACTTCCCCAAGGCAGTGCAGTCTACTTAAGAAAGTCTTCAGAAGTATGGTTAAAAAAAGGGAAGGACAATGTAATATATATCATCTTGCTATGTTAATATTTTCTAATATTGAAAATTTATGTCTACAGATAAGTAGTAAAATAAGAGCATTTGTATTCAATGAAGTGTATTGTGGTACTTTTCCTTGCTAACTTAATTTATTGATTTTAGTATATGTAGAGCATAACTTTAAATTATATTACGTATGTACAAACCAACTTGCTCAAGCCAATGGCAGTTCCAATTCTGTAGGAGACTGGAGTGTAATTCCAATACTTTAAGACCAGACCCAGCCACTACCAGGCCAATAACCTGAAAGGATGGAGCTGTGTCACTTAGTGAATCAAAAAGAGGTGACTTTTGAGGGAATTTAAAACTTGGATAGTTCCGGCCCATATTGTCTTCTGGATATAGCCTGACTAGAAGGCTGGGAAGATATTTTTTATAAAAGATACAGAAACAATATCACTTATGGACTTTTTTCTGAAAATAAACAGGGGCGGGGGGGGGACTGTTGATTTATAGATTTATTAGAAAGGATAGAATATAGTAATATGGAAATTTTAATGTAATCTTAGAGAATAAAATATAAATTACTTACAGCTGTTAGGATTAAAAGGCACTTATCTTTTTTTCTTTTCTTTTTTTCTTTATTTTTCACTTTTTTATTATCTATTTTATCTTTAATTTAGAATCTTCATTGGTTTTACTCTTAGATGTTTCCAAAGTAAAAATACTTTGTGCCTTTGTTTGTATTAGATAGGCAACTTTTTTCCCCTTTGAAACATTCATATTTCTGTATGGCATTAGAAATTCCATATTCATAATAAAAAACAACCTGCCTTCCTTTTATAGTGCTTACACATGCTACTTTTCTATTATATCCACCCAGACTAATATGGTAGATAATGTAAACTGAGGGTTAGTTAATGATTTTTAGTTTTGTTTTTTAAGACTTAGGGTTTTGTAATAGTAAATAGGCGGATTGTGTGATGTTGATTTCTTTAAAACATAGGTGAGCTCCATACACGGCGATAATATAAGTTATTTAAGCTTCTTTTATTCCTCTGAAAGTTGGTGAAGAGCTAGGCGATCCCCGAATCCAAATTCAAAATAATTTAATGAGGATCCGCGTCACAGAACTAGGTTGCAGAAGGACGGCGGGAGCCGGATACAGAGACGCTTAAGAACCTACGAATTAACATGACAAGGAAAACACCCTTCCCCACCCCTGAAATTTTTTTTTCTCAAATCCTCAAAAGCGGGATGGGACAGGGTTGCAATCCACCAAAGCCATTGAGAAAGAAAGACACCCTGCGTAAGCTTATTCCTAGGCATGACACTGATTCCTTCGTTGGAGATCAGAAATGTGCTACCCCTATTCACGAAAAGAGGGCGGAGGGCTGGGAAGCTTCTCCGAGAACCAAACTCAAGCATCCTGTAAGAAAAGATTAAGCGACAAAAGCCGCCGAGCCTTTGCTTTTACCCTCCTCCTCCTCCTCCATCCCGCCTTCGCCGCTGGCGCTGCAATTCAACGGGAGCGTCTCCCACGCTTCTAAGCGACGCGCCACGCTGATGGCTGGTGCAGGAGCTCCGCGCTGACTCTCTCCGACAAATGGCCGCAGGTAGGATGAGAACTCTAGGGAGCAAAACCATGCAAAAGACAAGCTCATCGTAAGCCCCGCCCACTCAGTTTGTGGCACGCGAAAGCTGGCGAGCCCCCCCGCTGCTGTTGCATCTTCTGGGGAAAGCAGATTAGAAATATCTGAAAGACGATGCTGACATAAGGGGTCATGCAGAGGGCCCGGAATGAGGCCCTGAGGAACGGGTGTTGCTGCGCGTAGAATTAGTGATGGTGTTGAGTTTCAGTGCTTGATTACACTGAAGTTAGGATAGAGGGCGTATGTTCAATGTGGTGGGACAAGTACATCTCTATATCTTATGCAAACATTTATAGAGAGGGAGGGAGAGAGAGAGAGAGAGGGAGAAAGAAGAAGAAGTAGTAGTTTCCCTATCCAGTTGTGTCCGACTCTATGGCATAGTGCTCATTTCTATTGTTTCTTGGCCAAAGGAACAAGATTGTCTGAAGACATTTTCCATGGACAAAAATACAGTAGTGGCCAAACTTGTGGAAACCTTTTGGAAAAAGTGTATTTTCTAAAGCTAGCTAATAACACTACTTTTTTCTAAAGTAGTACCATAAATTATATATCAATTGAAAGATAATTTGATCAAGAACTTAATGCAATAACTTTTATGAAGGATTTGCTATTAGAATATAAAGAAGTAAAGTAAAACACGTAGAAAAAATGAGATCTACAAACATTACCATTGAAAGAATGTGATATACAAAAAATATCACATGATTTAATACTTAGTTGGGTAACCTTTAGCATGAATTATGGCTTTACAACATCGTCCCATGGAGTGAACCAAGTATTTTAGTTTTGCAGCGGTTATAATGTGAAACCAGGATTGAATGATGGCTTTTATTGACTGGGTTTTATTGCTGGGTCGCTTCTGACTAATAAGTTTCTTTAGTCATCTCCATAGATTTTTAATTGGGTTAAGGTCTGGGCTATTCCCAGCCCATTCCAGCAGAGGAATATGATTATCTCAAAACACCAAAATAAAGCGGTGTTAGCCATCAAACCTCAAAAATACACTTTTCCCAAAAGGTACCACAATTTTGGCTACTACTGTATGTGTGGAATGTCATTATCTTCCCACCAAAGTCATACCTATTAATCTACTCACATTTCAATGTTTTTGATCTGCTAGGTGGGCAGCAGCTGGGGCACGGAATACACACTCACTCTCTCTGGCGCCATTCAGATCTCAAACCCATGCGGTCAGTTCTAGCTGACAAGCTCAGCATTTTTAACCCTGAGCCATCACGCCCCTCAAAAAATATATACATACATATGTAATGTAGTCATTTAAGTCATGTTTTTCCTCTTCCACAGTTTGTTTCACCTGTAAGAGGCCTCTGCCACCTTGAAATCTAGGCAAGTACATTTTATCAATATCACTCTTTGGGTGCAGAGAATGGTGCATTATAATTAGTTTTCTTGTCTTTAGATCCAAGTTATCAAGTTCTAGCTGAGTACAATCAATTATTTCAGCTGAGTATTATATTACAGGCACTGCTCAGGTGTTAATTGTCTTTATGATATTCCCTCTACTTAGTTTTGATCTCAAAATTTTCCAGATCCGCTTTATGTATTTTATTGTAGTAGCTTCCTTGACTTGATTAGTGCAACAGGTCAGAGCCTTCCAAATACTTGTATTCTTCTTCTTTTGGAATTATTGCTTTTTTAACTCTTCATTGTCAAGTGCAAATCCATCATCTTCAACATTTTTTCCTGTCTTAACAGCAATTTTACATTTGTCACAGTGGTGGGATATGACCGGTACATCCTGGTATGGGTATACCGGTGCCTGCTGGGAGCACCAGGTACTGTTCCGGTACGGTGCTCCGGAGGGTCTGCCCTCCTGCGCTCCTTACCTGTATTTGAGCTGTTCGGGGCTTATGCGCACAGAGCGTACGGCACCTGTGCAACACTCCACCAAGCAGCTGGCGCATCGCAGCGGTATTGGGCACTGTCGTGGGCAAGAAGTATGCATGTGCACGCTGCGCATGTTCATGTGGTGGACGCCTAGCCCTGTTGCACCTTACCGTTTGTAATGAGATCCGGAACCCACCACTGATTTGTCAATGTCAAATTGCATTTCAAAGTCTCTGCTAAACTCCTCAGGGATTTTTAGCAGTGACCTCAATTCAGATTTTGTTTTTCCAAATAGTTTTAAATTATCCAAGTAGAGTAAATGAGAAATTTTCAACCCTTTTTTGTCAATTTATAGCCACAGTTTATTTTGTTCAAAATGCTTTTAGTGGTGCCATTGAAAGAACAAATAACTGAGGTTATTTAAATTGCCTTGGAATATTCTTCGTTTGATTTCAACTTCATCAAGTTCTTCTCCATAGGCCATTAACTTAGTTTGCCATAGTTTCATGGAAGTCTTCAGGAATTTTCAGGCTTATTTCCCTTTTCTGCATTCTTCTGAATCAAAAAAGTTCTTCCAGTTTCTGGAGTTTCCAAAACCTGATTTATCTGGTTTGCTAATCCATGCAGTTCATTTAAACAAGGGCACTCCAGTTCTTGACATGATGATGAATAACTGGAGTACTCCTATTTAGATGATCTGCATGGATTCTGGTTGAGATCACTAACAGGTTTGAATAATAACAATCATCATCATCATCATCATCATCATCATCCATTAACAATGATCCTACAAAACACAAAGCTGGGATACCAAATCTCAAGCCAACATGGCAAGATAAACCATCTACTATACATGGATGACTTAAAAATGTATGAGAAAAGCCCATTGAACTTAAATCAATACTCAACACAGTTCAACTGTTCAGCAGTGACATCAAAATGAACTTTGGGCTTGAAAAATGTGCTATATTATCCATATGGCGAGGAAAAATGGAAAAAAACCAGAAGGAATAGAACTGGGAAATGGAAATATAGTGAAAGCATTAGCAGAGGATGATAGTTACAAGTACTATGCATATTGGAAGCAGATAACATCTTGAATGGAAAAAAGAGTCAATGCAAAAGGAATACATCAGGAGGGTCCACAAAATATTAAAATCAAAGCTGAATGCTGGAAACATAATTAAAG